CTTCATCTTCAGCATGGAGGTGGCAACCTTTGGAGTAGCTTTCTTACCCAAGCGGCATCATCGACCAAGCAAGAATACAATGCGAGGACGTGCTGTGCGGAGAACGGGGAGATGTCATTATATATGGCCAGGCGGCCCATGGGCCGGTGGCACGGCACGCGGCACGGCCTTTTGGCACGGCCCATGGGCCGCACGGCACGGCTGCCACCGTGCCCGTGCCGGCACGGCACGGAGGCCCGTGCAGTGCATGGGCCGCAGGCCTGGCCCATGACACGGCACGGGCACGGCACGGCCAGAGGGCCGGCACGGTGGCCGGCACGGCCGCCAGGCCAACGGCCTCTTTTGGCCCAGCGGCCCACGCCCACACCCCCGCCACCCCGCGCCATATATAAGCCGCGCGGCCGCAGCCCCCCCCCCCAAATCCCTAACCCTAATTCTTTTGCCCCCTCCGCCTCACAGCGCAGCCATGAGCCAGCCTCGCTCTGACCTCTCGAACTCGATCCGCCGCCGTCGTTCGCCTTGAGCTCGCCGGCCCTGCTCCGGTGACCTCGACACCTCACCTCGCCGGCCACTTCTTCTCCTCCCTCCGCGCAGCCGCAGGCCGCAGCTCTCCCTCCGCTCTCGCTCTCGAGTCTCGATTCGAAGTCGAGACGAACTCGATCCGATCCGATCCGCCGCCGCCGTTCGACTTGACCACGCAGGCCCTCCTTCTCCCTCTCGTACCTCCTCCAGTCCTCCTCCTCCTCCTCCGGTGTACCATGTGAGTCGTTGAGCTGTATATTCTTCCGCCGCCACTCGCCGTGACGCCGTCGGTCTAACGGTGGGTGCTTGTCTCGTCGTTCTCTGCTTGGATGCTGGCTCCTTGGCTTCTTCTCCGGCACTGGGCTCCGGTGGCGTAGGTCAGTCAAAACCCTAACCCTAGCATGTTCATGTTCTTGTTCAGTTGTTCTTCATCTTCTTCTTCTCTGCATCTTCCTGAGTTCTTGTGTTGTGTTCTAATGCTCTTCTTCTTCTTGTGCTCATGTGCTTCGCAGGTTGGTGCCTGACGCTTTGTCCTCCTCCTCTGGAGGCTCGATGGCAAAGCCGTCCGGTTTGAAGCGCCCCTGCCCACCGTCGAGGAACGGTGCTGGAGCTGCGGCTAGGGGCCGGAACCAGCCTCCCCAACCCCAACCTCCTATGGCCTCGGTGACGATGCCAGTGCCTGCGGATGAGTACAACCACCGTGCCGACGGCGAGCACCCCGAGGCCGAGGAGGCCGTGGAGGAGTTGGAGATTGAGAACGACGACGACATCACCGAAGGCGCAGCTGCGCTGTTCGGCGAGCACCCGATCGATGTCGACTCCGGCGACGGCGATGGTGGGGTGGACACCTCTCAGTCTCAGGACACCAATGGTGCCTCATCTGGTAAGCTCACTGCTGCTTGTTGGGAGGACTTCGTCCCGATCTTTGACGAGTCAGGGAAGATTAGAACTCATGCCATCTGTAAACGGTGTGGTAAGAAATTTGTTGCTAGGGCCAATATTGGCACTGGATCCTTGAATAGGCACATGGCAACATGTAGGAAGAAGCAGGACAATGATCGTAGGGTTCAGTCTAGGCTTTCTATGAATGCTAATGGGTTGCATAACTGGGTTTATGATGCTGCTCGTGCTCGTAATGAGCTGTGCCGGTTGATTGCTAGGCTGGATCTTCCATTAGGTGTTGGTGACACACAGGCCTGGGAAGATTACATTCAGAATGCTCATAATCCTGCTTTCCAGAAGGTTTCTAGGCAGACCACTACTAGGGACATGCATAAGTTGTTTGCTGAAGAGCGTGCTTTGCTTATGCATTCTTTGCTGCCTGCCTGTTCATCTGTTTCCATAACATCTGATATCTGGTCTGGTAATGCTAAGGAAGATTATGTCTCTGTTGTTGCTCATTATGTTGGTGCTGATTGGGAGTTGCATAAAAAGGTTATAGGGTTTAGGCTGATTGAGGCAGCACATACTGGTGACAACATTGCTGAGAAAATTTGTAGTGTGGTTGAGGAGTTTGGTTTGATTGATAAGGTCTTTGCTGTGAGTCTTGATAATGCTTCTGCTAATTCTAAGGCTTTTGATATCTTGCAACCTATGTTGTTTGGTTACCTGGGCTCTTACCCAACACCTACTAAGGAAGATCCTCACAAAGTCAAGTACTTGCTTGTGCATCAGCGCTGTGCATGCCATATCATTAACCTGATTGTTAAGTCTGGCTTGAAGAGGTTCAGTCCTTATCTTGAAGCTTTTAGGACTGCAATCAACTTTTTGAATTCATCTAATCAAAGAATTGCATTGTTTAAGAACTATTGCATTGCTAGGGGTGTCAGACCTAGAAAGTTTGGATTGGATATGGATGTTAGGTGGAATTCCACCTATCTGATGCTTAAACACTTGCTGCCATATAGAGATGTGTTTTCTGTGTGGATTGAGTCAAATTATAGTGAGCAACTGTTGACTCCCCAGCACTGGTATGCTGCTGATCAGATTATGAAGTTCCTGGAGATGTTTTATGATGCAACTGTTGCTTTGTCTGGTGTTTACTATCCAACTGCTCCACTTATGATGCATCATATCCTTGACTTTGCTGAGCATTTGCATAAAGCTGAACTTGATCCTGGATTTAGAAGTATTGCATCTCCTATGAAACTTAAGTTCCTTAAGTACTGGGGGGACATCCCATTGCTGTATTCTTATGCATTCATTCTTGATCCAAGAGCTAAGATGAAAGGCTTCTTTAATGTGCTTGAGTTACTTGCTAAACAGACTGGTACCCCTTATGGTGTTTACTATGGTGATGTGAAAGAGTCCATGACCAGACTGTTTAGCAAGTATGAGCAGAGATATGGTGCAGCTCGGTCTCAAAGGCCTCCTATGCCTAGTGCTCCTTCAGGAAAAAGGAAGCAGGCATGGGGAAAGATCTATGGTGGTCCTGGTGCTTCCTCCTCTAGTTGTTCCCCCACTTCATCCTCTACATCTGGTGTCAATGAGCTGATAGCTTACTTGGACAGTGATCCTGTCACTGATTGGGGGGAGTCCTTTGACATCCTGTTGTGGTGGCGTGACCACAAGCTAACCTACCCCATCTTATCGATAATGACTCGCAATATCATGTCTGTTCCTGTATCTACTATGTCCTCCGAGTCTTGTTTCAGCTGTACAGCAAGGATACTTGAAGACCGGCGGCGGCGCTTGTTGCCTGAGCATGTGGAGATGCTCACCTGCATCAAGGACTGGGATCAAGCAGCAAGGAAGGAACAGCATGCACCTGAGGACACGGCACTGGAGGAGCTGTTCGACAACTTGTACCTGGATGAAGGCGAAGGAAGCGGAAGCGGCAGCGGCAGCGGCAGCAGCGGCGGTACTGCTGGTGCTGGTGCTGGATAGAAGAAGAAGAGAACCTCTACAAAAGGAGAGGTAGAGTACACTAAAATTCTAAAACTTGTTCCATTAGCTTGTTTACATTACATCTTCAAGTCCATGACCATCAATCCATCATGATCCATTTTTGCAGGTTGATTGCACTTTTGGGAGTGGCTGCCAGGCTGATTCACATGATGAAGCTTGAAGCATGAAGTGATGAAGTAAGGACATTTGCTGCTTCTTGTTGCCATAATGCCACTGTTGGGCTTTTGTAATAGGATAGAAGAACATTTGCTGCTGGCTGCTGCCAGTCTGCCACTGATGTTGGCTATTGTAATAGGATGAACTACTTAGACTTGTGCTTGAACTAAGACTTGACTACTTGAGCTAGCTGTACTCTTTTCCTTTCTAGGGTTTCTCACAAGGGTGAGTTTTACCTAGAAAGGTTTTTAATGAGGCAGCATTGCACAACAGCTCTTTTGACTTTTGATAATCATTTTCATTATATCTTCTGCTGTTCTGTTCTTTTACTACTTTATAATTCTGTGACATGTGATCATTTGAAGTTTTGAACTTAGACTTTGGAATTTTCTGTTGATTTTGAGTGTTTTCTGTTGATGGGCCGTGGGCCGGCACGGCACGGCCAAAATGGCCGTAGCACATGGGCGGCACGGCACGGAGAAACGGCCCATGTGCCGTGTCATGGGCCGAAGGCCTGGCCCATGGCACGGCTAGGCACGGCGGCACGCCGCGGCACGGCCGTGCCGCGTGCCGTGTCGGCACGGCACGGTGGCCAATGCCTAACTGGCCCCACAAGATGGGCTCAGAGGGCCGGCAGGAGCCCGGGCCCCTGCGTTGGCCAGACGCCAGAGGCGCCCAGTGCAGGGCAAGGAGCCGCGCGGCCAGGGGGATCCATAATAAAATAGGAAAGCCGGAAAAAGTAGGTAAATAAATTGAGTATTTCTTAGTTAAAATATATTGAGATTTTGTTAGAAAGGAAAAATTGTTACTTGTTTCGAAAGGAGTCCGAATCTATAAGGGCTCTTTCCGTAGCACACATGCTTTTACTCTGTGGCCAGTGAAAAAAATGAGGTGTTAATGGAAGATATCTCTGTACTAGTGAGGAGAGCCCATGAATGTCTCTGAATCATCATATGGGCTTTGTGTGATACGAAGAGTTGGATATTTCTGGACATCACACAGGTTGTGTATGACATGGAGTAAGGAACAGGTTGCCGGCATTAGCCTTCTTAGCACTACCTGTTTGCCTTTTTATTTTTGGTGTGTTACCTTAATTTATGCTAAAGCTGTAGACATCATCTTAGTTCTGGAGAGACCAGGGTACTTTTAGAATGGTTGTATGATCTTGATGTTCATAGAAGCTTCCTTTATGTAAAAATATATTGTTCACAACTTTGAACAATCCATACTGTGGCTTCATATATATTTGAAGGGACATGCGTGCAATACATATGTGCATACAACTTTTTTTCTTGACTATGCATACAACTAGGTAACCCCGCAAAATACATACAACAGGTACACAAATTCACGTGCAGGCCGTACACTTCAAAAATCATACTAGGCATATCTTTTACAGAGCATCCTGCCTCAGATTATGCGCAGCAAGCGCTTCCAGGTAGTTTCGGAACGAGCATGAGCTTCTCCTTTCGGTGAACCGTCAATCCAAAAACCTCTGTCATATCAATATCCTCCTTGTCCATACCAGCCGGCAGCCCCCAATCAAAACAGTACATGAGGTTTGCCAGCATGATCTCAACGGTGACCAACCCAAAGTTGATGCCAGGGCACATCCTTCGACCAGCTCCAAACGGTATGAACTGAAAATCATTCCCCTTCAAGTGAATGGTCGCGGCGCTACCACCGTCCATGAACCTGTCTGGCATGAACTCCTCCGCTTTCTCCCATGACTCTGGATGTCTACAGACAGCCCAAGCGTTGATGATGACTCAAGTTCCCGAGGGGATTGTATACCCATCGATGTCACAGTCCACCATGGACTTGTGAGGCAGGAGCAATGGAGCAGGTGGGTGTAACCTTAGCGTCTCCTTCACCACGGCTCTCAGATAGGCCATGCTAGCTAGGTCCTCTTCCTTGACCATCTCCTGTCCATTTGGTGTCTTGTTCCTGACCTCAGCTTGTAGCTTGGTCATGATATGAGGGTGGCGCATGAGCTCAGCCATGGCAAGATCCAGGACCAAGGATGACGTGACCGTGTCCGCATCGAACATGTCCTGGACCAAGCAGAACATGTCATTTAGGATAAGTCAATCGAAAAGGACACAATATAGGATAGATCTATTTTTTGTTCTCTAAAGGAAATGCTAATATTGGTAGCTTGTTACTCACCATCAAGACAGCCTTGATATGGACTCTGGTGATACCGTACTCTTGCTGAACAGAGAGCATCACATCAACGAAGTCTGCACCCTCTTCTTGCTCAGCTCTGTCGCCACGGCCATAGTTGAAGCTTCGCCTCTCATGGTCACTTATGATATTTTCAAGCACCTCATCCCATCTTTCTTGCGTCTTGTCCACCTTTCTGCTCACAAACCTGGTGAAGATACCTAGTGAATTCACAAGCCGTGGGAAGTAGTTTTCTAGGCTAAACCCTGCATACAGGGCAGAGTTCATCTCAATCAGCTCCCGGAAGGTCTTGTTCCGGCCGTCTTCCCTGAAGAACTTGCCCGAGACCACGCCGCACATGATGTCGTTGGCGAACGTGTTCATCGTCTCACTCATGTCCACTGCCATGCCTGTAGCCATGGCCTTCTTCAGCTTGGCCATCACCAGGAAACATTATTACATAGCAATTCTTGCATTATCTTTCATCCCCTACTAATACAGAAAGTATACATCTCACTCGAGTGTTCCAACACTCATTCTTCTCTCTTCTCTTCCTCTCCTTCTATTCTTCTCCAAATCTAGTGCTCCAAATCTAGTGGCCTTAGAAGAATTTTTTGGGGAAGGCAGGCAGGCCAAGCAGTGGGGACCGGAGAGACGGCGGCAAGGCGATGGTGACGCCTCCGTAGTGGGTGATGGAGGAGGCGGTTGGGCCAGGATAGGGCTGGGCGACCATGGCCAAGAGGGCGACGGGGAAGAGGAAGAAGAAGGTCGGCACGGCCGTGGTAGGGTCTCTCCATAGCTCCACAGCCATGGCCACGGCCGCACGGAGCTCCGGCAAGACCCTACCGTGTCGCGGCGGGGCGGTGGGCGGTAGGCGGCGGCGCGTTAGGAGGAGGAAGAATACAAGAAGAAGAAAATCGGGTGTCCGGGGCAGCCAAAACACATTCTATAGACAGACTCTAATAATAAGCTACCAAAAAAAGCTGTTACCTCCTCTTGGCGAGCATGGCAAAACGAGTTCACCTTCTTGACGGCGAAGAGGTGCGTGGTGACAAGCTTCCTGACCTACCGCCAGTGCTCGCCGTAGGGTCCAAAGCCTATAGTCGATGACCCATACAGGAAGTTGTGGAAGACCTTGGACGTCAGCCGCGAGGCGAAGACGTGGTCATATGTGCGCAGGATGCGACCTGCGCCGCGCGTGGGGAGGAGACAATGAGTTTCAGGACGGTGCTGAGTTGGAGGAGCATGAGACCACCGCCACGGTCGTGCTTGGTGGCGAGGTCCCGGAGGGAGACGTGCGGGAGGTCACCGACGAGGTGCAGGTGGCCGATGACTGGCAACCTCCGCGTAGACGACGGAAGGAGAGGCTTGGATGACTGCTTCCTGCTTTCGCCGGCGTTGGGACGACGGTAGTGGAAGAGGCGTTGGCAGATGACAGGCAGCAGCACTAGGATGAGAGGCACGACGACGAACCAAAGTGGCCGTTGTGCTACTAGGGCCGCCCACTACCCCAGATCAGGACAATACTGTCGGTTCAAAACACCTCATCACTGCCGGATTTTAAACCGGCACAACTATACCGGCAGTGATGAGGGTTAGCTATTACTGTCGGTTCCTACAAACCGGCAGTGTTTTTCAACTTCACTGTCGGTCCTTTACACAACCCGGCAGAGTTCAGTTTCACTAACACTGCCAGTTTGTGATAAGACCCGACAGTGATGGATAAGCCAACACTACCGGTTTGTAGTTCAAGCCAGCAGTGCCATCTTGGCCATCACTGCCGGTTTGTTGCTAACCGGCAGTGATGGTTACGACAACACTGCCGGTTTGTGACAAGACCCGGCAGTGATGGCTAAGACAATGCTGCCAGTTTGTGGCTCAAGCCGACAGTGCCATCTTGGCCATCACTGTCGGTTTGTTGCTAACCGACAGTGATGGTCCGTTCGTATTTTATTGTTTTATAATTTATTTTAATTTATATTTTTTGTGGAATCGGGTTTCGCTTTATATACGCTACGTAGACGACAGATCCATCAATATTAAACATTATAAATGTTACGGTTACAGTTCAAATATTCTTATCAAGATCTCGATCCATCAAAATAAAAAAAAATATTCGATAAGATGAAGCATGCTTCTCGGACTTCTTACAATAATCTAGCGAGCCGCTCTGGGCCATACTGGTCCTTGAACTTCACGGATTGTGCAATGGAAAATACTCTATCTTTTTCCAATACCTCGGCTAAGATGAATTTTACCAGCTCCAATTGCAGTGCGACGATCTCCATGTCTAACAGCCTTTCGTGGTTATATTTCTTGCGTTGTCGTTCAAAAAAGATGATATCCAAAGAGAAATCAGTAAATCATTTTCTTGAATTATTAACTGACATAAATGAAATGGGGATTATACACACCAACTTATCTGCTTCTTCCGATTTTTCGCCGATGTAGCGAAGCATTGCTCAAATTACATAAAACCCGCATTCATTGTGTCCCACCGGCTATTTTAGGTACTTCCCCTCCATTTCGACAACCTTGAATGGGACCTGTATCCCACCGATATGTCCTCTTCGCACACTATGCAACATTAAAAGAAGAAACATTAGAAAGCGGTATGTGTCATTAGAAAATAATATGTTATTAGGATCGCTTACTAATTCAGCACGGCCACTAGCGCATTCAGATGATGAAATTGTTTTTTCTTCGAGTCCCACACCTCGATTAGATTTTTAGCAAGATTGACACAAATGAAGACGAAATGGTTGCTGCAATCACATAATTCTAATTATCGAATAATCTTAACGAAAAAAGAAGCATAAAATTAAAAGCCGAGAACACATACTCGCAGTTGTAGGCTAAAAGTATGTGAGATTTGTTCTTCATCTTGAATTCATCAAAAACAGCAATCAATCTCTCTTTCAGGTCTTCCACGTCACATCCATGGAGGCCTAAACATGTCTTCTCATTGACTCGCAAGGGGTCCAAGAAGCCTATGTTATCCCATTTGCTTTTTAGTATGCAAAATTTTGCTATACACCTACATAAAATCATGAAAAGTGCTTAAAAGTTAACAATTTATGTCTCGAGAGAGTAGTTAATTGTAATATCGTACGTGTAGGGTACTTACATAGTCCACAGCATCAACATTTGTGAATTGAGAGAGCGTGTCTGATATAGCTGGAACAAGCACTCCCAGTCGACATCGAATTTCTCTTCTTCAGGATAATGAAAAATATGTGGCGAATGGATAATAACCTCAAAACCAAAATCCTCCATCTCTGTTGCTTGAGCCATGTAATATTCATGCAACTGGCACATATATGTTGTCAAATTTTTATACTCATCATCGGGAACCAAAAGATTGCCCCTTTCATACTTCATTGCCGGTGTTCTCGTCCCTTGTACATCATGATAGATGTTCGCGGCCTCTTCCATGGTTAATTTGGGGTTGTCTTCGATGTACTTCTGTATCTTCCTTAAATCTTCATTGTGTATTTCTTTGGCTCTTATTGTAATGTACTGATTCTATGTTTGCCTTTCGAATTCGGACTTCAACAAATACGGAGGCAGTGAGGCACAGAGATTGAAGAAACTAACACAATCTTCCTTCGAGATGTGTGCTGTAAATTTTTCTTTCATCAAGTTTGTAACACTGCCACTAAATGACCTTTTTCTTTTTTGTTGGTCCACTTTGGGAGCGTTAGCGACCGAATCCAAGGACCTTTTCTACGACTGTGAGGATGCCTTTGATCTTATTTTGGGCTGAGGTGGAGGAGGAGGAGGAGGAGGATGATGATGATGAGAATTCTATTTTCCCGGGCTGATGAAGATGGAGGAGGAGGAAGAGTCTTCTCTTTTCTCAGGGCTGATGAAGATGGAGTCGGATGAGGAGGAATAGAAGGAGACCTCTGTCTACTCAGGGGTGATGGCAAGGGATGAGGAGGGGAGTGATCTCTGTTGGGAGATGGTGAGTGATTATCGTTGGTGGGCGAACACTCGTAGTTGTCCTCATCATCAGAGGACAATTGGTAGTCAAGCTTAATGAAGCGCTTGCGCCAGGCCACTTGAGAGACCTTGTTATGACCAAGTTTCGGCCTGTGTTCTACTGTGGGGTACTTAATGTGTATTTTGTTATACTTCTTATCAAGTATTCTGTCAATGGTGACGTGGGCGTACTCCTGTGGAATTGGGTGGCCATTAATGGCCCCGTGTCCTGCAAGCCAGGCCTGGCCGAGTGCCACCTTGTTCTTTGTCCATTCCTGATGGATGTACAACTTGACATTGACGGGTTCAGTGATGCCGTCCATCGGATGAGGCACATTCGTATCTTCTCCGTCGAGCGGGGTCGATCCGCAGCTGCTATGACCCCTCAACTGTGTGCTAAGGGCAGTAGGAGTAGGGTTTTGTGGTACTCCTGACACCTTGGACAGCAAAATTTGCTAGACTCGTGCTTCAACAGTCACCTCAATCCGTGCGTCTATTCTGTCTTCCATCTCTTTTAGTCGCCTCAAACACTCTGCCTCCTATTTCGCTCTACCCCTCGAGCAGCTCCGGTAAGTGTGAGATTCTTTGGGGAATGCTAGTTTCCATAGAACAACACTAGTTCCTCTAGTGCGACCAGGGTGCTCCTTGGTTCCGAGTGCTTGGGTGAGCACGTCTTTCTTCCTATTAGAAGTGTGAGTCCCTTGCCTCACCTCCTTAGTTACATGGGAGATTCTTTGGATGAGTTCGCTCATGGGTGGATTTGTGGAGGTAAAGCTCCCGTCCTCGGCGTGGCGTACATTCCTCCCTATATAGTATATTACTGATCTTGACTCCCAATGGGCGGTCTCAACCTAAATGCCTTCCTCAGCAAGGCGATCTATCTTTTCAAGTTCTGCTTCAAATT